TGAAACACAGCAACGAGGAACAAAGGAAGAGTATGTTTCCTGAGAAGAAGGTGGGATTGAAAAAAAAAAAAGAGATCTTTATAATTCATAGTAATAACACTGAGAAGAAAGAATAAAATTCCAAAGAAGAAGAAAAAGGAAGAGAAGAGCTATCTGATAAAAGAAGAGCTATCTGATAAAAAAATGGAGAAGACAAAAGGAAAAGACATGTCATTCACAGATGGAGGGTTTAGTCTTGGAAAATGAGAAGATAGACTTCCATTATCAGTTAATCAAGAGGTGATAGCTCTCCAAGACATTGATTACATTGAAGCATTACTCACTGTAGCCAAGATAGCCAAGATATAAAGATGTACAGCATGATCTCACTTACATGTGGAATTCTAAAACAGTGGAACTAATAGAAACAGAGAGAAAAATGGTAGTTGCCAGGGGCTGGGGAGTGGGAGAAATGGGAAGGTGTTGGACAAAGATTAAAAAGTTTCGGTTATGCAAGATGAAGAACTTCTGGGAGTTTAATATACACAAGTTCATTCAGTGACACCAGAGATTGTATCCATCTGACTCCTAGGTCATGGCACCAACTCCTTGCCATTACACAGCTCAAAAACTTCTGAGCTGAACATTGGTGTTGTACCCATTACCTACCATTTGACTAAAACATTGATACATGTCAATGGATACAAAAGTATGTAATAGAAGGAGGCTGATGATCAGGGAGGGATAGAAAGCGTACAATGACTGACATTTGCTAAGAATTTTAATGTATTCTAGAGTCTAAGTGCTCAACATTACTTGATATTTCCAACAACACTAGCAGCAGTACTATTCTTATCTCCATTCGAGAGGGAAAACTACTGCAGTGTGAAAAGATTAAGTGACTTGTCCAAGGCTATAGTTGACGAAAGTGGCAAGGCCAGGCCTTGAATCCATAGACTCCCAGGACATACATATCTAGTCTTTTAATCCAACAGTTTACCAGCACCATTAGAGATGAAGAGAAAGGGTAACTAAACAAATAAGTATTTGCACAATTGGTTTTCTATTCATTTATTCATTCATTGAGTGGTGAATGGTATTCATCAATTTTTGGGATATAAGATGCTAGGAAATAGTTTAGAAAAATATGGTAACAATGAAGGGATAACAGTGTGTGAAACTGAGCATCCGATGAGCCTCAGTTGAAATATTAAGCTGTGTCTGAAAGTCTTTTAGAATAGATCCGTATCTTTGCATATACCTAGTGCGTTAGATAAGCCAGGATCCTGAGCATGAGACTGAAAAGACCGAGACTAATGTTGTAATGAAAATGAAGCTCCTGAATACCATTCCCAGGAAAGTGATATGATCAGAGTGGTTCTTTACAAAGATTGATTTTGCATTTGCATGCCTCATGCATTGATGTTTTTATTGGACATCCAGTAGAAAAGGAAGCCAAGAGCCACTAATGGCATTACAGGAAAAGTCAGAAAGGGCCAGGGCTTGGGAGGTAACAGAGGAAATGGGAAGGAAGAAATAGATACAAGAATTATAATGCAGGAATTATTAAAATAGTGTTTGACTGATTGTGATGTATATGATAGATAGGAATCAAGGGTGAAGGCAATTCCAGAACAATCCAGAAAGTGAAGAGAAGAATTAGAGATGTTGATTCTAGGCACATCTGACACGATTCACTTAGACATGTTCTGTATCTTTGTATATTATTTTTCATTACTGAAATATTTAATTCATCAACTATTTCCTGAGAACTTAGTATATTGCAGTCACTTTGTTCTATGTTACATGTATCTATATGTATAAATGGATGTGTGTGAATGTGTGTTTTTAAAATGTTCTCTCTTTCCTCAAGAAACTTAAAATTTAGTAGTCAGTTGACAGTTGGACTTACAAAACCAAAATGTAAAAAATGTTTAGAAAGACAATGAAAGTCATAAGCATGCTTTTGCTTTAGAAGAAATAATAGAAATAAGAGGTCAGTGGAAAATCATATGAATGAAAGGCTACAGTAAGTGTCAGCAGATCTGAAAATGGACTGTATAGTTAGAAGAGACAAGCCACTGGCCCATGTTTTGATGATAGTGGCTTTGCGCTGAAAGAAAAAAAAGTCTCTTCTTTCTCTGCAGGTGCACCATGTCAGGGTGCACAGTTGGTGAACGGTGCAACTTCTGCAGTCAGAGTAAAAACAATCATGTTTATACTATATATTCAAAGATGGAAGCCCAAGAGGATAATATCTCCCCCTCATTCCCCAGAATATACTGCCTTCACTTTTGACACATATCCCCAAACTGGAGTGTAATGCCTATGACATCCAACTTAGACCTAATGTACATTAGGGAGTCAGCCTCTCAGCACAGATTGAAGAATTGGCATTTTTTAAGGGGATCCGTGTGCATTTGTTTGCCTTTCTTCTGTACTTTGGATCAAACTTACAAGTAAATTTTGGATCAAACCTACAGCTGAAAAGACATGCAGATTAACCTGGAGATTAAGGAAACATGAAAATTATTAGAATATTTGAAGGACTAAAAACATTATTTAGATATCTTAAAATTTGTATTTCCAGATGTGATTTTAATAGTTCTAAGACTTTTGGATGCATCAGAATTCTACACATGTGTTTTTGAACCTTAGAGTTGTAACATAATGTACTTCTTAGGCTCTCTAAATAATTTACAGTTACTCATTAGAATTGAAATATACACTGTGGCATTTCTTTACAGTATTCACATATAAAAGGCCTTAAAGCTGTTCTCCTGGCTTTTGCCCAGTATTATTTATAAGGCATATTTTTATGTGACCTACAGTGACCTTTTTTAACTCTAGCAAATAAAGTACATTTGACTTTTGAATGCCATATGACATTTTTGTTTTTATTTTTATTTGTATCTATTTATTTTTGAGATAGAGTCTCTCTCTGTTGCCCAGGCTGGATTTGCAGTGGCGTGATCTCAGCTCACTGCAACTTCCGCCTCCTGGGTTCAAGTGATTCTCCTGCCTCAGCCTCCCAAACAGCTGGGATCACAGGCACACTCCACCACGCCCAGCTAATTTTTGTATTTTTGTGAAAAGAGGGTTTCACTATGTTGAACAGGCTGGTCTCAAACTCCTGACCTCAAGTAATCTGCCCACCTCGGCTTCCAAAGTGCTGAGATTACAGGTGTAAGCCATCATGCCTGGCCCCAACTGCAGATTTTTATGTAAATGTTTGACTGATATAAGAATTGAAACTCACAGGTACTGCATATTTATCAGTCAAGTTTTATATATATATATATGTGTGTGTATATATGTGTGTGTGTGTGTATATATATATGTATAGTTTATAAAGGACAGGAATTTAATTGACTCACAGTTCTGCGTTCCTGGGGAGGCCTCAGGAAACTTACAATTATGGTGAAAGGCAAAGGAGAAGCAGGCACCTTCTTCACGGGGCAGCAGGACAGAGTGAGTGCCAGCAGGGGACATGCCAGACCTTTATAAAACCCGGAAATGCCAGACCGTTTATAAAACCATCAGATCTCGTGAGACTCATTCATTATCATGAGAGCAGCATGGAGAAACCGCCCCCATGATTCAGTTACCTCCACCTGGTTCCACCCTTAACACATGGGGATTATGGGAATTAAAATTCAAGATGAGGCTGGGTGCGGCGGCTCACACCTGCAATCCCAGCACTTTGGAAGGCCGAGGTGGGTGGATCACGACGTTAAAAGTTCGAGACCATCCTGGCCAACATGGTGAAACCCCGTCCCTACTAAAAATAGAAAAATTAGCCCGGCATGGTGGTGCGCACCTGTAGTCCCAACTACTCGGGAGGCTGAGGCAGGAGAATGGTGTGAACCTGGGGAGGCTGAGGTTGCAGTGAGTCAAGATTGCGCCACTGCACTCCAGCCTGACCACGGAGCAAGATTCTGTCTCAAAATAAAAAAAAATAAATAAAATAAAAAAATTCAAGGTGAGATTTGTGTGGGGACACAGTGCCAAATCATATGATATACATATATTTGTATGTTTTACATATATATTTTATATATATATATATATATATTCCCTCTCTGAAAAAACTTATATTTGTTTTTTTTCCTAAGTTTAAGATTATTTCAGATGTGATAGGAATAAAAGAGGAAGAGGTTCATAGAGAAATTAACGTTAATGTGTCTCTAAATCTTGATGTTTCTGGAGTAGAGTTTTCAACTGTATCCTCATTGGAATTTTTTTCTTCTAATTCTGCCTGCTCTGCCTTTGAGATAATTCTTCTGAAATAATTTTTTATATTACACACTAAATTAAATGTCCACCTAAGATACCTTATGGAACTTGAAATAATGTAAGTAGTGGATAGATTAAAATAAAACAAGAAGGATTTTATAGCTATTTTGAAAATATGGGAATAAGATTTTAATATCTCAACCAAAGGTTTAATTTAATTGGATAATATATAAATGAAATTAGACCTAAAAGTTTATAGTCTTATTTAATTCATAATACTGACATTTTTCTCGAAACTTAGCACTTACCTGTAATTTAATAATATAATTGTGGTGAATGCAAAGAAAATACATTTTGTATTTTCACAAGGTACCATTCATTATTTATGGTGATGGTTGAATAACTGATTTATGTATTCTAACATTTTAACTACCCTCTTTATCTCTCTTATTTTTTTCTTTTAAACACACACAAGATCATTTTCCTGGACCTCAATAAAATGTTTATATTGTATAGAAAATGCAGAAGTAACATATTCCCTCAATAATTGAAGTGTGATTTTCATTTTACTGTGTATTTTCTGTGGTAATAAAAATTGACTCGGGCATACTTTCTTGTAATTTCAAAAGAACATTCAGGTGTTTATGGAAGTTCTGTAACTCAAACATATTACGTGATGCAGGTAGCAATTTTCCTTCACTCCTAGTTCTCATAACACCATAAGCCTTAATAACGGCCATTCCCATTCCCTTGGTTATGTTTTCTTTCTATTTGTTTGTCCATAGATGTGCCATCCAGTCCCTATGGAGTGAAGATCATAGAGCTGTCACAGACCACAGCCAAGGTTTCTTTCAACAAACCGGACTCCCATGGAGGTGTGCCTATTCATCACTATCAAGTGGATGTCAAAGAAGTAGCGTCAGAAATCTGGAAAATTGTACGCTCCCATGGAGTTCAAAGTGAGTCAGCAATTTCAAAATGTGTTGATTACTTCAAGCTGATCTTCAGTATACCTGTATGATTAGCTTTTTCGATTTCCTCCAACATTTTCTTTTCTTTTAATAAAGTGGTGTTGGGAAGATATTTCCTGTGCCCCATTCTTCTTGATAATAACTCTAATACAGAGTGAATAGTTTCCATGTTCAGTAAAAATGAAAGAGCTTAGTAGAATCAGCAGAGTTCAATTCTGGAGGAAAAAGTCATTTTAAAAAAGCTCGTTGGTGGAAAGGCAATTGCTCACATACTAGATATGATGGCTGGATTTTATGAAATGTATGCTTATGTTTCATTTATTAATATTGCTCTCAAAAATAGGTGTGAAAATGATACTGCAAAATGTAGGTGCTTTCTATACTTATGAAGCCATCTATAAAAATCTGTGGAATTTCATATATTGTTTACTTTTTTTATTTTTATATTTTTCACTTTTATATTTCTATTAAAAATTAATTCACAGAGCTTCTTTTCACTTACATAAAATGTCATCATCTTATGAAAATGTAGTTTGTTTTCTCATTAGGAAGAGACAAAATGAAAGCAGGAAATAATAAGAAATTACCAGTTTTTGCCTCTGTTTTTTAAGACACAGAACCATATTGAGTGTTCCGAAAGAGTAGCATAAAATAGTGAGAAAATTCATTATCTCATTCATTATCATGAGATAATGCTCCATAGGTCTGTTCTATGAGGATCCTACCTTGACCCTAACACATATGGTGTGAGGGTTCAGTAAAAAGCAAGAGCCTTCCTGAGAAGGAAAGAGGGAACCAATTCTAGTGAACATAGAGAGAAAGCAAATGAAATCATCCTGGTATCCTCTGTGTTGACCCTGCTTTATCAGTTTTCACTGAGAGTAACTACGGGTTTTTGATAGAAGTATCAGAAACATTAATCAGTCATCTGTCATGTACCATACACTTCAAATAATGTCCTCAAGCTGATGAACTCACATTATTTCTTTTAATTATGAAATACTTGGATTATATTATCTGTGTGCGTTGTGTGGTTTAGGAGAGATTTATAAAGACAGTGCCCCAAAACAATGAGTGAGACGAAGGACTATAGTTTTTTAAAAAAATATATTAACCTGGATGCAGGAATATTGTGCTACTTTAAATTTTGTTTTGTTTTATTTTATTAAAGAGATAAAAAGGAGGGTGGTAGGTGAAAAATAGAAAGAAAAAATACATTATTTCTTAAACTGCATAAAACTCAGTGTTTGTGCTCAAGCACAAGTGTGCAGAAAATTAATATTAAGTCTGAATATTATAGAAATTGAACACAGCACAACAGTGCTGCCCCACTCTATCCCTGCCAAACCCAGGAAAAGGTTAATAGGCTCCCTCCGGACTTCTTGCAAAGGTGCAGCACTATGGAGAATTTATAGTGCCCTTGGTATGGCCAAGTTGATCAAGGTAAAAATCCTGACATTGTATCTCATGTATCCCTCTGTCACATGCAGATCACTATGTTTATAAAACTGAAATATAATAACAAAGCACATTGGTTACTTTACAATGAGAAATAACTATCACAGAAATTAGAACATTCAGAGTCTATGTAAGTACATACTTTATCTGTTGGTACATTATGAAGATATGAAATGAGAGTCAGAAACTTGTTTGGTGAGTCTAGAATCTGAACTAGGGAAGTTGTGTGAATAGAATGTTTAATGGCTTCAGACTGGGACAGTTTAAAGCTTGCCAATGAGAATAAAATACTCAAAAGTCTTGTGGCTAGGGATTTCTCACTTTGATTTGAGGGAAATGACTGCCTTAATACTTTTTTACTGTTTCCATTGTTGATTCATCTTGCATAGGTATGTGAATGAGCACCTTAAAATCAAGTTACAGTTGACCCGGTGCGCAGTGGGTCACGCCTGTAATCCCAGCACTTTTGGGAGGCCGAGGCAGGCGGATCCCAAGGTCAGGAGATCGAGACCATCCTGGCTAACACAGTGAAACCCGGTCTCTACTGAAAATAGAAAAATTAGCCGGGCGTGGTGGCGGGAGCCTGTAGTCCCAGCTACTTGGGAGGCTGAGGCAGGAGAATGGCGTTAACCCGGGAGGCGGAGCTTGCAGTGAGCCAAGATCGCGCCACCACACTCCAGCCTGGGCAACAGAGCAAGACTGTCTAAAAAAAAAAAAAAAAAAAAAAAAAATCAGGTTATACTATGTAATCAAACCATTGTATGATTTCAACTCAGTGTAGTATAAACATGATTTTTAAGTTTGACTACTAATTTAAGCCTTCTTTTTGATTCTTCCTTTCAGTTATTAAATAATATATTTGGCTGACACTGTAGATATATTATCATCTTCAAGTATTAGGAAAAAAACAGTTCATTATTGGTGGTATAGTGGTGAGCCTAGCTGCCTTCCAGAATAAACAGTTCAGCCATGCAGTTTAAAACTTATAATAATGTTTAATTTTGCCTTCACATTGTCTCTAATCTCCATGAAAGACAGACCTCAACCTGGGGAGCTTAATGGTGACAAGAATTACATCATGTCTTGGGAAGGTGAAAGAGATCAAATAGCTCTTATGTTTCTGGTGCTGTGGAACTCATTGGGCTGTTGCTGTCACCTGCCTTCTGTGGGACAGGCATCTAAGTACCTGCCCCTTGGGCATGTGTGACTGGACTGAAAGCACACTAGAAGGCTTTTTGGGCATAGAATATTCTTCATGGGGTGCTGCTTAGCTTGAGCTCTTTAGACACTTCCTCACCCTTTACTTCAGCAGGATTTCTTGTAAGTGTGAATGTCACCCACTAACGTTATGCAATACCCACTTGACCAAGAGAAATATTCCACATTTCTCACTTAGCTAAGATGTAAGAAACTGCATTACTTTGCAGCTGATCTCTTTCTCCAGTTTTTCTTTTTCCTCATTTTAAAGAGACATAGTAGATGAATTCCTGTGGATAAACAGAAGTCCACATTGAGATGCAATTATCAAATCTCTCATCTCTTGTGCCAAAAAATTCATGGGTTCTGTTCACCTCTTGGACTTACCTTCACTTACTGGGAGGGAAGCATCACTGCACTTTCTTCTGGGAGGAAGACTTACTAGTTTCTTCAGTGGATTTTTTTCTCCCCCTAGTTTTCTTCTTACATTGCGGGGAGTGGGAAGGACAGGGGGCATGGGAGTTGACTCTCAAGGCTGGGGTTGCAAACCCAGTTTAGCATCTTCTTCTTTAACTCTGCAGGAGGTGCCTGACCTCTTCTCAAATGTTTACTGTCTGATGTATTTTTTCTTCTCTCTATGAATTGTCTCAGTTGAAAATGCCAGCACTACAGAAACATGCCTGCTCAATTTCCATACACTTTCTTATGGCTGTGCTGGTGCTATTCTTTCTACTTGAGATTAAGAGTACCTATGTAATGGGATTTATTTATTGCTGCATTTACACTTTATATCTCAAATGATGATGTGATCTCATTTTATCTATAAAATCATGTTTTGGGGAAAACCAAGTTTTTAGGGATTTCTTAGTGTAGACTCCATATTTGTATAGCAGGCATGAATGTAAATATGTAATTATAAGAGCACCATAAATGCAATGAGTACCCAGGGAAAGAAGCTGAGAAATTCCATTGGGACCACTTCTAACATTGTACGATATGTGTGTCTGGCACTTATTCTTTCTTTAGCAAAGAGGTGTGTTATTTTGTAATGGTATAGTAAAGATAGTCATCAGAATAATATGAATTTTGCTGATAGAAATATGAAATGTGATGTTAATAAGCATAATTATATTTACTGTAAATTGACAGCAATGGTTTGATTATTGAAACGTGTAACATAGTTTTGACTTAAACGTTCTACTTTAATCAAACATATTTTTGTTGTGTTTCTGTGATTTCAGTGAGTCACTATGTCCTTTAAAGTAACATTTCAACCTTACTCACATTTTCCCATCTGACTGACTTAGGTCCTTTTAACATTTCTCAGAAGTATTGTTTTACCCTGAACCACCTACAACATGCTTTCATAATCAGTCCTTGAAAGTGCCCTCACAGTAAAATTCCCTCTTCCTTCAGAATGACTGACTGCCAAGTGACACTGAATTTCAGATATTATATTGTATATAGTACATATTTTAATATATAACTTATTATATTTTATAGTACTCCTCTTACATCATAACTCTGAAGTATTTTTTCTCCTAGTTTATAAGCTCCATGAGTGGACCTCGTATGCCTTGTTTATGTCATTATTTCAAGTACCAAAAGCATATTAGGGTAGAAGGAATATTGAAATTTGGTGGAGGTGGGAGAATGGAAAGGATTATTTTATAGCACCTCTGACTGGGTCTTAAGTGAATCCATTATACATCCCCTTCCAATAAATATGTGTCTACAGAAGCAACTCTT